GCTGACTACTTTTTGGCAATCCCTCCCCGGCAGATCGCACACAAAACACGAACTTTTTTCCGGGGTACTTGATTATCTCGTTCACTACAATATTTCATTAATAAATATCATTAGATCGCTGTAGATTTCTTTTCAAGTTATCATTCAGTAAACCATCATATATATATATATATATATATATATATATATATATATATATATAAAATAAACTAACTGATTTAAAAATGTGGCTTCATCGCTACACAGGAATTACCAGGTTTCAAAACCAGAAAGTAGTATATAATTAAATTAAAAGTATTAGTTCTGTTTCATTTTCAAGCGAATTATAGAATAACTTATTTTTAAATTTACTGAGTTTTAAAGGCACATACATTCGTAATATTGGTTTCCATGAATAATTCCTTAGTCGCTACCGCAACTTGCCACTTGACCAATTCCATTAAGTCATTGGACGCTCAAAAAATTGCACCTGGGGATAACTTAGGGTATATTTATTCGATGTAAATACTTCTTGGAGCACATGGTATTTCCTATGTAGCGATGAAACCTTATTTTTAAATCTGTTAATATATAATATTTTTGGTCTGTAAATTTACATTGAGCATTGTTTTGTAAAAATAAATAATATCAATAATAACACCGGGTTATATATCTTACTGTTCTTTCTTTATATATATATATATATATGAAAGAATGAATTTAAAGCCAGATGGAGGCAGCATAAGTGCTCTTTCAACAATATAAATAAAAGAAATCAGACATCTCTATCTAAATATTTTTGGCATTTGAAAGATACGAATAAAACACCAAAAGTAAAATGGAAAATTTTAAACAAAACTAGAACTTGTAAAACTTGGGATGACCCATGCCCTTTATGCCTACATGAAAAACTACACATTATTAAGTTTCTAAATAATAAAAATCTATTAAACAATAGACATGAGTTAACGGTTTTTTGCCGACATCATCAAATTTTTGCATTGAATAATTAGCATAAAAACAAACAAACAATAAAATAATTTTTAAAATCCATAGTCCTAATAAATAGTTTAAATGCCCTACCAAAAAAGATAACCCTTTATGAAGTCGTCAAAAGACAAATGTTAGAGATTTACGACAGTTTTTATATACACAAAACCATTTCAGTAAAAATAAAAAATAAAATAAAAAAATAAATAAATCTCCATAGACGCTTAACCAGACTAGGCGATGTGTTCTTCCACTTTAAATTTAGACACCCCAACCTTACCCTGACTTGACATCTGTGAATGTAACTGAGATATTGATACAAATTATTAACACCTTACGCCCCTTTTTCTTTAAACAATTGCTCTAGCCGTTACCATAGAAATTTTGATTTTAATAATGAATATGCTTATAAAACACGTAAATTTCAGAAATAAGTTATTCCAAAACGAATAAATAACTATTCCCCAAAAACTTTCACTTGAAGATGGAACAGAGCTTAGTACTTTAATTCAATTTACTTCAAATAATTATATTGAAGTTTTCGGCTCTTGTTTTGAAACATGATAACTCTTATGTAGCGTGTTGGAATCATATTTTTAAATAAATAATTATATTTATGCTCTACTTTTGTATCGAGCATTATTTTTTTAAAATAATTACAAAAATACTAAAGAACTTTGGATTATTTACCTAACGAGTTCTTTCCTATTTTCTATATATTTTTCACACACACGCGCGCACGCACACACACACACACACACACACACATATATATATATATATATATATATATATATATATATATATATATATATATATCGAGCACGTGGCAGAGTGGTTAGAACGTTCGCATTCTGACCATGAGACCTGGATTCGAACCTTACCATGGTCGATTTGTCAGGAAGGAAAATTCCAGATGTTATCGAGGTGGAGGGGCGATCCCAGCGTGCGGCACATTTGGAAAGTGCCGGAAAAACATACCACGGATTGACCCAAGCCTTGTAAGTGAAAGTAGCTAGACGGAACCCTTGGGAGCCGTCGAGAGCTGTGTTAGCACAAAGTCACAGGTCACCATGGCCGAGTGCTTGAGCGTGTTGGCTTTGTTCAAATTTTTGATCACGCTAGATAACAAGCTCTTTCCCAGAAACTGTAACTAAGGTCTGCTCCGCATAGTTGCAGTATAATCCACTGGTGGGCTCTGTGTGTGTTAAATAAAGACAAATGCGCCTTAGCAAACGTCTGCAATCGGAATTGTGTATCCTCGAATACGAGTGGCCATACACACAGACACACACACACACACACACACACATATATATATATATATATATATATATATATATATATATATATCACACCCACACGAATATACACACTAACACACGTCATACTCACTCACTCCCTAATGAGCCAAATGATAACACCCACCCACAGTAATACACACGCTTACACATATCATACTCACTCACTCCTTAAGAACCAAATAACACAGACACAAACACTAAACAGAGACACATCCTCTCTCCAGGAACCAATAAAACTGTCAAACTGTCCAGGGGAATTCAGAGAAGCATAGATCCATCCAGCTCTCATCTCAAATAACAACTTAAAAGAGACTGTTTGACCAACACAAGGAATGTTAAAAGGTTCATGTTAAAAAGATAAAAAAACAAATGAAAACAACAGACAAAAGTTCATTTTCTCCAACAAAAATATTCTTCTCCTGATGATGGCCATTTTGGCCGAAACTAGTCAAGGAATCTAAATGAAATAATAATAAAAAAACGAAAGAATATTAATCTACAACCCAGGGTGTCTGAAGATTTTAATTTTTGAATTTTTTAATATTTTTTTATTGTTCAAAAAAAAAAAAAAATAATATATATATATATATGCCGGCAGTTATTCCTCGGGGTAGTTTGATCTTTTTTTTTTTTTTTTTTGGTCTTTTTATTCATTTTATTTTTCATTTTATGCAGAGTAATGTGAGTAATCTGAAGTCGGCAGTGACCGATCACAAAGGTTTTCACGCAATCATTATTCTGTCGGTGACTATTTTATATTAAAATAGGAATCATTATACCGTCTAAAATGGTTAAAATGTAGCATATCTTGCACACACCGACCAAACTCAACGGAGCGATGGTAACCGTATATATACACACACTGCTGGCCAAAATTTTAAGCCCAATGAAAATAAAGAAAAAAAAATTGACTTTGGCGTTGTTAGACTCAGCCACTTATTTTAGTAGAGCCTAAAAAATGTAAATAAGAAAAGGAAGAATAAAAATTAAAATCTTTTTCCCAGATAGAAAAAAAAGGGATGACTGTTCGATTACTGTCGGTGGCAAAATTTCTCTTCAGTAGAACTGTTTACCTGTTTAAAGAAATAAAAATAAAACAAGGTCAACGTCTCAACCCCGTGTACTAATTATAAAAAAATATACTAATAAGTATAAACTTACTCTCAGCAAAAAAATTATTTTTCAGAAATTTCTGTTATTTATATTTCACGTAAAAAATTGAAGCTAGCAGATATATTTTCGTTGAAATCCTAACGATAAATGTGCTTTCCATAAATAGATAGTTCAAACTTGGCTCGTTCAGGCTGATCTCTGTGACCATACTGATAGTCGCACGCTTTGGCCCCAAAAGTGTTTTCCCTAATGGGAAAATGGGATGAAAGTTGGATTCCTGTCAGAGCCACAAGTTTTCTTTATTGAAAAAAACTTCTCAACTTTGGACGGTTGTAATTAATTTCATTGTTTAGGAAAATAACAAATAGTAATTCAAACAGCCGTACTCACTGAAAAATAGGCTTGATCTAAGTATATATTAGGTTGGTGCAAAAATAATGACGTAATAATGTCGTTTTTTGACGTATTTTTTAAGGTCAAAAACGACATTATTACGTCATTAATTTTGCACCAAGCTAATATATATATATATATATATATATATATATATACACACACACACACACACACACACACATACACATATATATATATATATATATAAAGAAGAGTAATAAGTAATTCTAAAAGGAATTTACTTACGGTTTCACACCGAAAAGGGTAGAGTGCTTCATACCTGAAGATTGAGCGCTGCGCATGAGCGTGACTGTCGTGCCTGGTCACTCCTTTACCGGAATGTAGTTTATATATATATATATATATAATTCCTGAAGTTATCAGAATGGATCGAGGTCGATCACAACGTGCGGTGCCTTTGTAAAACGCCTGAAAAAACATATAAAGCCTTGTGAATGAAATTGGGTAGACGGAACTCTTGGGGGCCCTCGATAACTGTGCTAGCATGAAGTCAAGAGTCATCGTGGCCGAGGGCTTTAGTGCACTGGCCTTGTTCAGATTGTTGATCACGCTAGATAACACGCTCTCTCCCAGAAACTGCAACTAAGGTCTGCTCAGCCTAGCTGCAGGTGGGATTTGTGTGTGTTGAGCCAATTCAAATGTGTCTGAGAGAGAATCTGCAATAGGGATTGGCTAGCCGACGTTGTAGAAGGGTATCCTCGAATTCTAGTGGCCAGCTATTATATATATATAGCAATAATTTTGTTTAAAGGTTAATATTTCGCCCTTTTTCCTCAGCAACGTTCTTTGTAACTATGTCTGTCTAGAACACGTCGTCTCTAACAAGTGTTACTTCTACCCAGGTGCCGCGGGTTCGAATCCTGCCGAAGAGTGTTTTGAGAGCTTTAATAAAATTTCTCATATATTTCAGGTGGTGGATGAAAATTTATATATGAAGAGTTTACTCAAATACGAGTATTCACAAAAAATAAGGTTCTTGGATTAATAAGACAAAAAAATCATTACTTCTTTAGAAAAAAAACTATTTCTTCGACTAGCGGACAAACCCGGTGCGTATAGTTGACTTGTCAAAGACTTCCATAATTTCGAGTCTGTTAATACACTAATATTATCCCAAGCATATCAGGATATAAACAATAAAATATTTTATGGCAAATTGACAACATTCTTATATAATTTGGCTTACATCTACATCGCATAAAAACATCAGTTCCCGTATGATCACCGAAGTTAAGCAACATTGGGCCTGGCCAGTACATATATGGGTGACCGCTTGGAAATGCCAGGTGCGGTAAGCTTGGATGTACGTGTTGTGTAATGGATAATGGCTTAGAAATTTTAATCAGAGAATCGAGTTCCAATTTCCGTTTGGTTCACTATATTCACGTACGCGAAAAAGGAAAGGTATGAATGCACATCTTCTCCCCTAGCTATGGGTTAAATACTTAAACTTGTATAGCTAAACCGTTATCATCTCCAAACAAAAAATCCTAACAATCTAAGAATATTTTCCACTCTTAAAGAACCTGCAACGGGTTGAAAGATCAAAGAAAACGAAAGCAAAAATTTCGAAAACAGATTTAAAATATCGAAGAGACATATTCTACAGTCCTTTGCCTCACCATTAAGCCATGCTCAGATGCGCATGCATTTAACGTTTGTTGGGTTTTGAATCTCTAAGGAGTTTCTGTCTGATAGGAGTTAATAGAGAGACGTTTGGTTTTTAACAAAAGTGCTCAAGGGAGATAAGATGTAATCGAGGAACAAGAAAGTCTTTTCTGGGAGATATCCCTGTTCCGCTGAAATGGTCGACTGAGGTGGGGTGTATTGCCTGGAGGACATGCTAGGAAGTAAAAGGCGGAGATGGAGATGAATAGCGTTGTCTGATTAATGAGCCGTCGTCCACTCACTTCAATACCCACGACGAATTGGCTGAAATACAATCGGATAAAAACCCAAGTAGCCAATTTCTTTGGGCACCGTCCAAAATCATTTTTCCTCTTTTATGGTAATTTTCCAACTTTCCCAAGTAGATTCTTGTGAAGACCTGCGCGTTAGGTTTCTGAAAATATCCTGTTTTAGACTCCCATTTTATAGAACATTGCTGGATAGTTTCATTAATTTCGTTTAATTACAATCACGTTCGAATTTCACAGGTGAAACAATGCCAGTAGGTTTTAATGCCTACTGTAAACACCTGGAATCTTTTCTGATAATCCCCCCCCTCAAAAAGAATTTTATATATATTTATATATCCACACCAAATTCTCCCAGAACAACGTCCATCCATTGTACCCCAGATGGGTTGACATTTGCGATTGCCACAAATATAGGCGACTCGAGCTCGATATTGCTAAATGTGAGGTCTACATTCGCGCTAACCCGGATAAATAAACCAAAAGCAGTTTTTTTTTTTTTTTTTTTAATTGTAATTTTTTTTTTAAGTACCTCGAAAATTATCTGCACTTACGAAATGCAAATAAGTCCCGATTTTTGATAACTTTTCATTCTGGGGGTTTGAGTTGTTGCGAGGCAAGCTAAAAAAAATTTGATTTAAAATTTATAATTTCTTGGGGTCAATTAATATGCCCGATAAGTTACTTTACTTTATTCGAAGTAATCTAACAGAAGAAAAGATCCAAAACCTGTTATTAATTATAACTTTCATGATGTCAACGAACACACGTTTGACACTTTTGTAATGTCAACGAATACCCGTTGTCATTTCGTAATGCTCGTTGTAGTAGAGACTTTGTAATCGCAGATACAATTATACTAAGGCCGTTGAACAATACTGCTGTCAAATGCCTTCAGATAACACTCGCACTAATAGTACTTGCTCGATAATACTCACTCGAATAAGTAACAGCCGATTAGTGATCCTTATAGAGAAATAGTATAGTGAAAAAAGTAGAGAATAACGGTCCATATAGTAATAGAGGATAGAGTAGAGAATAGCGATCAGCAAAGTAATAGAGGATAGACTAGAAATGAGTTTCTTCTATGGTCACGTGATCCACTTAATTCAATTATTGGATCGCCTGGTTTTGCTCACTGGAGATCGGTGTTCAAACTCAAGTGTCGGTAGCGACACTTTATTCTTATATAACAATAACAAATGAAATAAAAATCCGGTACTGATTATAATTTTTCATATATCCGTTACTGATTCTCCTTCTTCAATGTCTTGTGTCCATAAAGGTAATGTGCGATCATGGCTCTCCACAATTTCCTCTCCTTTTGTAGCTCAAGTATGGTTTGTCTTTTTTCTATCTCTCCTAATCCCTGTTCTGTCAAGAATTTACACAATCTCGTTAGCTAATATAGTCGGCGTTTTCATCCGTCCCGCTTACCTTCTCTATGCTGTGAGTGTTAAATTTTCTGAACCCTCTTTCCTCATTATGTGCCGTAGACATTTTAAGTGTCTCGTTTTAATTTTAAATAGAAGTATCTTTTTTTTTCCATTTCCCATAAAACTTCGTCGTTGTTCACATGTTCAGTTTATGGTTTTCTCAGCTTCCTTCTGTAGAATCATACTTTTAGTCGCTTCCTGATCTGTAAGGAGAATGTTCACCACTCACTGCCACATAAGAGAACCTATATTACATAACAGTTCAGTACATTTTTCTTTGTATTCTATCGAAATTTTCCCGAATCTTAATACTTTGATTAGCTTTTGGAAGGCATGTTCTCACCT